GGCCAAAGGGCACAGTTAGAAGATGAGTAAGCTCTCGGGATTTAACCTACAGTATGGCGACGAGAGTTCATAAAACTGTGTGACGTACTTGCAGTTTGCTACAAGAGTAGATCTTAAGCATTCTCAACACCAGTTTTTTAAAAAAGGTAACCACATGAGGTCATATAGATGTTAAATTAACTGGATTATGGTAATCAATTCAGAAAGTATATGTATGTCAAATTGTCACATTCTACATTTCATGTAGCTGTAAAACAGACTGAGATTATGACATGGTACAATACGGACGAACCTTGAAAATGCCGTGCTAGGTAAAATAAGACGGGCACAGGAGGACCAATGGTGTGTGATCGCACTTACATAAGGTACCTAGCGGAGTCCCCCTCATAAAGACAGAAAGAATGCTGGCTGCAGCAAAACATGGAAAGAGCCTAAGTGTCCATCAATGGACGAATGGATCAAGATGTGGTTTATCTATACGATGGAATACTACATGGCAATGAGAAACAATGAAATCTGGCCACGGGTAGCAACATGGACGGATCTTGAGGGTGTTATGCTGAGCGAAATAAGTCAGGCAGAGAAGGACAGATACCTTATGTTTGCACGTATAGGAGGATTAGGAGGAACTTAACGGAGGACCGTGGGGGAGAAGTAGGGGGACATCGTGGGGGAGAGGGAGGGAGGCAAACCATGAGAGACTCTTGAATGCTGAGAACAAACTGAGGACCTATGGGTGTGGGGGGGAGGGGGAGATGGACATGGAGGAGGGCACTTGTGGGGATGAGCACTGGGTGTTATATGGAAACCAACTTGAAATAAACTATTTGTAAAAAAAAAAAAAAAAGAATGCTGGTTGCAGAAAGTGGGTGGAGAAGGGATGGGAAGTTATTACTTAATATGTTGGGATGATGAAAATACTGTGGAAGTGGATGACAGATGATGGCACAACAGTGAGGATGTACTTAATGCCACTGAGTTGTACACTTAAAAATAACTGAAATGGTAAAACTTTGTTATGCATATTTTACCACAATTAAAAAAAGAGTGGGTGCATGTCTGGCTCAGTTTGTGGAGCATGCAACTCTTGATCTCAGGGTTGTGAGTTCAAGCCCCATGTTGGGTGTGGAGAGTACTTAAAAAAAAAAAAAGGAGCAAAAGGGAAATACTGAGGATTTTAAACTGAGTTCTCCATATATACTGTCTCATTTAAAGTGATTACCACTGTATTTGGCATATCCTAAGCACTAGGTTAATGGTATTTGTTATTTTTCTTCTGCATGTTTTATCACTTGGACTGAAACTCCTTGACAGTAGGGTCTTGACCTTGTCTTATCTTGTACCCCATAGGATATGGTACAGCACAGGGCACGGGACAGGTCATCAGTAAAAACTTGCTCAGTGTAGATAATTCAGAACTTCTGCAGGTAATGAGATCAACAGAAACTCAGCTACATCTCCTATACTTACACTGCTGAGCAATTTCATAGAATTGGGGTTAGAACCATGACCCTGAGGCATTTCAACCCTAAATCAACACAAACTTAAATTATCTTGTATATTCTAGCCACTCACTTTCTCTGAGGTCTGCAAATGCTACAAGAAATTTTTAACTTTACATTTTCACTACTACTGAAAAATAAATCCTCATACTGGTTATAAAGACAAAGTGGCTCTTCTGCATTGCTAATTTGCAACTGAAACACATTTTAAAACGGAGCTTTAATTTTTAAAGCTGGCATTTCTCAACTTGGGGTTTAATCATATACTAAAGACCTGAGTTTGTTTTTTTCCTTTCCTAAGAGTTAGTATATTCTTTGAGCTTGAGCACCGTTTTTTCCATATTCTATTGCTGTGTTCTAATATATTTATGTATCTTTCCATTTTGGTTTAATACATTTTAGAAAAATTTTAATAAGTTTCGAGGCACTAAAAGTTATGAGCCTACATTTGAACCTGTCCCAACGAAGGTGATTTTACAGTGAGGAGCATGCTGTGACTTTTGCATTACACGTTTTAGGATCATGGGGAACAAGCACTTATGAAATATAAATTAAATTATTTTTCTTTTACTGTTACAACTAGAGCATTATGCCGGTTTTGTTATTGAAGTGTAGTTGACACACAATGTCGCATTAGTTTCAGGTGTACAAAACAGTGATCTGACAACTCTGTACATTATGCTATGCTCATATGCGTAGCTACTATATGCCGCCATACGACACTTTTACAATACCATTGACTATGCCATGTCTTTCATTCTTGTGACTTACTCATTCCATAACTGCTAGCCTGTACTTCCCACTCCCCTTCAATCATTTTACCCATCCCCCATCTCCCTGCCCTCTGTCAACCATCAGTTTGTACTCTGTATTCATGGGTGTTTCTGTTTTTGTTCACTTGTTTGGCTTTTTAGATTCCACATAAAAAGGAAATCATTTAGTAATTGTCTTTGTCTGACTTCTGTCACTTAGCATATAATACTCTTTAGGTCCATCTATGTTGTCACAAGTATTATGTTGCTTTTTAAAAAAAACACATTTTTTTTCTATAGATTGCATGAACTGTGAATTTCATCTTGGGTTAGAAAAAGGAGCTGTGGGTTTGCTATCATTCAAAACATCATTCTGAAATCACATAGTGAACCAAGAGCAGAAAACTGTGGCAGAGAAGCTATGACAGCAGGAATTGTGGTCAAGAGAATTCAACTTAAGAGAGTGAGACTGACTGGAGTTCAAATACAGGCACAATATTCTGGTTATTTTGGAAAGGCTAATTAACTTCGGCTTTCTTGTCTTCAACTGTAAAAATGGGTTCAGAATTATCTAAGTTGGGGTTATTCTGAGGATAAAATGAGAACAATTTAGGGGTGCCTGGGTGACTCTGTAGGTTAAGTATCCTACTTTAGCTCAGATTATGATCTCGCGGTTTGTGGGTTCAAGCCCCAACATCACGCTTTGTGCTAAGCAAAGCTTGCTTGGAATTCTCTCTCTCTCTGTCTCTCAAAATAAATAAACGTTTTTTAAAAAAAGAAAAGAACAATTTATTGGTGTCAATAAATAAATGCTAACTATCTGAGTTCTCTTCACACTGCATCTTTCTATAGCCTTCCTTTCTTTGGTGAACTGACTTCATGTTATCTCTAGGAGCCCGGTCCTCCTCCGTTCTGAAATTGATGCCACAGAAAAATAACTGAAGTGGCTGCTATGGTATAGTGGAAAGCACTCCAGATTTGGGAACCAGAAAATCTGGCCTCAAGTCATGAATGTCACCACGTGTGACTACGGAACCTCTGAAGCCTTTCTCTCTATAATATGGGACAACAGCATTTATCTCTGAACTTTAAATAAGTTAATGAATGTAAGTGCTTAGCATGGGTAGAATTATTCTCAGCATAATTGGGATGCACAGCTGAAAATGATAAAGCAGTACGCCCTCAATTTCAGTCATTCTCATTCCATGGTTACGATTTTTGTCTTATTTAGCCCTTCTATGAAAAAACTTGGTATTTTTTTACGTAGCAACCTTTTCTATTTTTATGTTTTCTAATAAATATTTCAATTGCCAACCAATAGAAAATCATTATCAGTTGCCACACAAGGAAATTAACATAAATACAACGAAATAGTCAAGTTTAGCAAAGCACCATTGCCTGTGTACAGTTCTGAGCCCCAAGGCTTGCTCTTTCTTAAAATGGGAGCTTAAGGGGCGCCTGGGTGGCTCAGTCGGTTAAGCGTCCGACTTTGGCTCAGGTCATGATCTCGTGGTCTGTGGGTTCGGGCCCTGCGTCAGGCTCTGTGCTAGTAGCACAGAGAGACATTCTGTGTCTCTCTCTCTCTCTGACCCTCCCCTGCTCACGCTGTCTCTCTCTGTCTCAAAAATAAATAAACGTTAAAAATTTAAAATGGGAGATTAATAAGTGATAGGAAGTGTTACAGAAATAGCAACATTTACCTGAGATGGTCTCTGAAAATAATCACAACGATTGACTGGAAAATGTTTTTTTATTTTAATATGGAGGGAGCACACGTCTAAATTCCTAAAATCGTCTCAAATTACCTCTCTCCACAGATAAATACTGTAATGAAGCTCAGGAGGAAAAAGTTGCCTCTACTTCTGGAAGGGAAATGATAATTACAATTCATCACATCTCTATGGCAATTTTACTTTTGCACAGCAATTGGTCACTCAACAGCTTGGCTGATCACCACAGTAGTTTGGTAAAACGAGTGGTATAAACACAGCCACCTTCTACATAGTTCATTAACAAGAGGGTTAGCGACTGGCCTAACAATATTAACAGCAACCATTTTTTTTTGAGCACTTAATACTCCCCAAGCCCTGTACTAAAGGCTTTGTAGACTTCATTTAAAAGTGAATCCCCACGCCTGTCCTATGAGGCATGTCCCGTTATCCTCATTTTACAGACGACGGAAGTGAAACACAAGTAGCACAGCCAAGGTCACCCAGCCAGTGTGAGCGCGATGTGAACCCGGACAAACTGATAAAACCCTGCACTTTCTTGCCCAAGGTCACGGGGGAGTGAGGCCGCCGGAGAGGAAAGGCGCTGACCTGTCGGAGACTTGTTCCTGGGTGAGCTTCTTGTCACTCTGCAGCAGGATGGACACATAGTGGCGGATCATGCCCACAAAGAAGGTGATGATAACGATGGGCAGGACCACCCAAAGGCGGATGTTGGAGTCGAGCAGCAGCTCCGGCCCCGCCATCTCACACAGAGCCTGCTCCCACCAGGCTGTGGCCGGGTTTCTCTTCCGCGGAGCGCGGAGGTCCCTCTTCGATTTCGCCTACCGGCCTCTTCCCGCCTCTCAGCCTGGCTGGCCCAGGACCCTACTCCGGCGTCGGCCCTCACGCACTGCCCCCCACTGGGCCGCCCGGCCGCGCACTTCCGGCGCGGAGCTTTGGCGTCACGGCGGGGCGAGCCTTGGTGACGTCAGCGAGACGCAGAGCCGGGCGCGCAAGTCGAAAACCAGGGGCGGCGTCGGCTTCTCGGCGGGTGAGAAGAGCCGCGGTCATCGATTCTCTAGGCGTCGCGCGCCTGTGGCTTGGTCGCTAGGTCCCGGCCGAGCCCGGCCTTTCCTTCGGGGCTCTGTGCCCCGAACGTCGGCCTCATCTGCCCTGTCGTGGGATTATCCCCCCCAGGTACCTTTCTGCGTCGTTAATAACAAAATGAGAAGGGCTTTTACCCCCAAGTCTTCCCGAATGACAGTCCAGACAGCTGGCCCTACCCACTAGCCTGTTCAGGCTTTTCTGGAAAGGAGACATGTACGGGCTTGTGCCCTGAAGTCAGACGGCCTTGACTTACCTTATTTTTTCTGTCTGTAGAATAGGCTGATAATGGTTATAGAGATTTCACGAGGCCTCGGAGAAAGAAAATGCTTAGCATGCTGCGTGGTTTTTAGTAAACTGTTGTTGGAAGCCATCGTTCTAATCAGGAATAAGTAGTTGGTGGGTAGTGCAGATTCTGGAGTCAGACTGCCTTAGAATCCCATTTCTGCCGCCGATCATTTCTTAGAATGATCATGGTACCTCCCTCCAAAAGGTTTGTGAGTAATAAGTGAAGTATTCATCATAAAGCGCGGTAAGTCGTTCTTGTTAGTTACTCGTATTTACTTGCCTGCCAGGCATTCTCATTTAGCGAATACTCTTGCGAAATTTTACGCCAGGGACTGCGCTAGGCACTAAGGGACCCTGAGGCAAGTCAGTCCGGAGCCCTACAGTCTCCTGTGATGTGGGAGGGGATCGCGGATGCACTCTGGAACAGGGAAGCTGGAGTCCGAAGCCCCTTGGGGATAGAGGAACATTTTTCAAGGAAATTGACATTTGGCCTGTCTTTAAGGATTAGTAGTTCCCAGGCAGATAAGCGCTTTTCAGGTGAAAACACCTTATGCAAGAGTTCTGAGACCAAGAATGTTCTGGTTTATGAGAGACCCTAGGAGGCCCGTAATGTGGTTCAGGCCCTCCCCTACCTCTGCAGTTTCATTTCTTTAATTTTTTTTAATGTTTATATATTTTTGAGAGTGAGAGAGAGCGCGAGCGGGGGAGGGTCAGAGAGAGAGGGAGACACAGAATCTGAAGCAGGCTCCAGGCTCTGAGCTGTCAGCACAGAGCCCGATGCGGGGCTCCAATCCATGAACCATGAGATCATGACCTGAGCCGAAGTCCGACGTTTAACAGACTGAGCCACCCAGGCGCCCCCTGTGCAGTTTCATTTTTGACTCTACAAGCGTCTTACTTGTTCACTGCTGAGTTTTTCTCTGCCTGGACTACTCTCATACATCTTCTATTGGCAAACTGCTGTTTCAGCCTTCAGGTCCTTGCTTTCAAATAATTTTCTCAGGGCGCCTGGGTGGCTCAGTCGGTTAAGCGTCTGACTTCGGCTTAGGTCATGATCTCACGGTTTGTGGGTTCGAGCCCCGCATCAGGCTCTGTGCTGACAGCTCGGAGCCTGAAGCCTGCTTCAGATTCTGTGTCTCCCTCTCTCTCTCTGCCCCTCCCCCACTCATGCTCTGTCTCTCTCTGACTCTCAAAACTGAATAAACATTAAAAAATAAAATCATTTTCTCAAAATTATCCCAGCATTCCCCCTCCCCCCGTATCTAAACTAACTTTCCATGTAATCTCTCATAGCACCTTGTGCTTCTCTTTTGTAGCACTTACACAGTTTAGTTAAGTAACTAACTCAAGAGCACTCATGACTATAATCAGGACTATAACTTAAACTCCCGGAGGGCAGAGATCATGTCGGTTCATAATTGTAACCCCAGCATCTAGCACGGTCTCCAACATATAATCCTGGATTAAGGAGTTAAAGGAGATGGTAGATTGGAGCTAGAAGATGAAGGATCTTGAATGTCAGAAAGAGAACTGGGTTTTATCCTTCAAGAAGAAAGTGGTCTGGCTAAAGAGGCAACTAGGTAAAGTCTTGAAAGCAAGGGAGTATTGACGAGATATAGGAGTTGAAATTCTCTGAGCATCTGGATTTAGACAGTATTGGTATAAAAACTAGAACTCCTTTGGCTTTTGATAGAGTAGTTATCTTTGAGCTTTAGCTTTAACTTCTCAGGATTTATCTAGCTTCCAGAGGGTAACTTCTATCCTCTGACTTTGCTCTCAAAAGTAATTTGATTGCAGAAGACTTCGGTCAGGATGGTTTCCAAGAAAAGGCTGTCAAAATTGGAGGATAAAGAGAGCCTGACAGAAGATACTTCCAGTAAGTATCTAGTTATTTGTTGTTTTATTTCCGGTAGCAAATGTGTGAGGCACTTATAAAGTTCCTCCTTTCAAGTGCTGGGGGTCCTCAAGGCTTAATGGTTAGAGGACACAGAATCTGGCATCAGGGGATGTGGCATTGAGTTTCTGCTTCTGATGCCATGTATGACTTTGGGCATGCCTACGGTCTCTGAGATTCAGTCTCCACATCTGTAAGAGCAATGAGTATTATAGAGCTCATCTACTTAAATCATCGAGATGCTGAGACAAAAGGTACGACATAGTGTCTATCCTTTAGACTTGTGGTCCCCTTTCCTCCCTTAAAAAATTTATGGGGACAGGGCGCCTGGGTGACTCAGTTGGGTGAGTGTCAGACTTTAGCTCAGGCCATGATCTTGCAGTTCACGGGTTTGAGTCCCGTGTCAGGCTCTGTGCTGACAGCTTGGGGCCTGGAGCCTCTTTGGATTCTGTGCTTCCCTCTCTCTCTGCCCCTCCCCTGCTTGTGCTGTCTGTGTGTGTGTGTGTCTCTCTCTCAAAAATAAATAAACATTAAAAACACTTAAAAAAAATTATGGGGGCACCTGCCTGATTCAGTCAATAGCGTGTAAGTCTTGATCTCGGGGTTGTAAGTTTGACCCTCACACTGGGTGTAGTAGAGACTGCTTAAAAATAAAATTTTAAGAAATTATAGTACAAATAGAGTGATGTGTGAAGGAAAGGCATCCCATCAAAACAAGCACATTAAGGGTGAAGAGACAGTGTAGACTCTGTCCTTATGAGAATTTGGTTGACAGATGCCCTAAGAGTTCTCATGAAATGAGGTTGTCTTTTTCCATTTATTATACTCATCTACTCTGTTAAGGGAGTTCTAACTTGTTACATCATTAACGGAGAAGAGTAAATAATCATACTTAATTTCAAGTACTTGTTTGTCTTGTTTGTATTATTTTTTTAAGTTTATTTGTTTACTTAGAGAAAGGGAGAGAACTCAAGCAGGGGAGGGGCAGAGAAAGAGAGAGGAAGAGAGAGAATCCCAAGCAGGCTCCAACTGTCAGCACAGAGCCTGATGCAAGATTGAACTCACAAACCATGAGAACGTGACCTGAGCCAAACTCAAGAGTCAGACACTTAACTGACTGAGTCACCCAGGCGCCCCATTTATTTCTGAGTTGAAAACCTTGGGATAAAATCAGTCAGGGCTTTATACTCAAAGGCTTGATACAAGAGAACGTGCCTGATTCCTTCTACCCCTGGATCAAGATGTACGCATCAAGATTGTTACCTGGAGAACTTGTAAAAAGTTCAGACGCCCAGGACCCATATCTGGGATTTTAATTGAGTAACTATGGGTTGTGACCTAAGGATGCACTTTAAAAAAAAATTGTTTATTTATTTTTGAGAGGAAGAGTGCAAGAAGGGGAGGGGCAGAGAGAGAGGGAGACACAGAATCTGAAGCAGGCTCCAGGCTCCGCACCGTCAGCACAGAACTCAGTGCGGATCTCGAACCCACCAACTTTGAGATCATGACCTGAGCCAAAGTCGGACACTTAACCGACTGAGCCCCCCAGGCACTTATTTAAGCTTATTTATTTTGAGAAAGAGAGTGTGTGCTCGTGCAGGGGAAGGCAGAAAGAGAGAGGACCCCAGGCAGGCTCTGCACTGTCAGCACAGAACCCAGTGGGGCTCAGTCCCACGAACCATGGGACAATGACCTGAGCTGAAATCAAGAGTCAGATGCTTAACAGACTGAGCCACCCAGGGGCTCCAAGAATGTGCTTTTAATAAGCTTCTCAGTGATCCCAGTGAATGCGTTTGCAGACAACAGTTTAAGGCACCCTGACTCCTTTAGAATTTGGGTGGTTAAACAGTTCCATGGTTATTTTTATTAGAAGTGGCACATTTTGAATTCTCCGAATGAAAATGCAATAGGCAAAAATAATTCTATTTATTGATTGTTTTGTTTGTTTACTTGTAAGCCACTATTCCTGACCATTGTTAGAGATACAATTTTACTGTAGCATCAATTTCAACATAATTCTTTAAGAACCATCAGCTTTTGTCTTAGGGTTATTCTAGTGATTACATTTTTTAATCTTTACTGTTTGTCGTATTCTTGGAAATTGTGTTTGTTTTTAGAAGCCAGCAAGCAACCGCTTTCCAAGAAGACAAAGAAATCTCACGTTCACGATGAAGTGGAAGAAAACGACAGTGTTTTTATAAAGCTTCTTAAATCATCAGGAGTTATTCTTAAAACAGGAGAGAGTCAGAATCAACTAAGTAATATTTTATTTAAATCTTTTCTCTGGGTTTAGTGCAGGGTTCAGCCCTGAATCATGGATTTTCTAAATAGAGGCAATGAAGATTTAAAATAGAAGCATCATTTTTCTTGAGACAAGAATAACATTGAAATTGCTTTTTTGAGAATATTGTTATAGGCTTTGGTTCTAATTGATTAGTACGTGTTAAGTAAATTCTAAGTTTTTTAACTAATTCTAATTTTTTTAGATAAAAATTATGTACTCGCGTTACTTAGTGTTTTAGTGTGGAAAAATAAATTTAACACTCAAGAGAGTAATTAGATCTCTGTCAGAATAATTTCAGATGAAAATTTATAAAGCCATGTAAAGAAAGCCCTGCTTTTAGGGCATAGATTACTCCATTCTGCTAAGATTACGGCATATCTTTTTTGGAAACACTTAATACTATCCTCTATCAAAGATAAATCTGTTTTACCGTGGATTTAGAAAAGTTAGCTCTGAAATTAAGTTGCAAATATCTTTTCTGGTTTCGTCAGACAGGAAACTTGGGTCTTGAGGAAAGTAAAACTATGGTGGGAGATACTAAAGATTCTGGTGACCAACTGCTTTTTTCCTCATAGCTGTGGATCAAATTGTTTTCCAAAAGAAGCTCTTTCAGACTCTGAGGAAACATCCTTCTTATCCCAAAGTATGTGTTTCTTCCTGGCACTTTTACTTTTTCCAGCACTACTCTGGAATTGGGAGTTTAAAGATGCAGACATAAGTTGAATGGGCTAGAATGATTTTTAGTTAATCCACAGCAAAGGTTAAACTAAAAACCGTAACTCTTACCCTTTTTTTTTCCAATGTTGTTAAGATACTAGAAGACTTTGTTAGCGGCCTAGAATCCTATATTGAGGACCAAGACAGTTTCCGGAACTGCCTTTTGTCGTGTGAACGGCTGCAGGATGAGGAAGCCAGGTATGGAGCGGAGCCGTGGGATCCTGCTGAAGTTTAGGCTGTTACACTGACTGGATTGGGGGCTGGGGGTGAGGGGGGAATGCATGTTTCTGTAATTTCACTTTATATTTATAACTCTTTTTCCTTGGGGCGCCTGGGTGGCTCAGTTAGTTGAATATCCAACTTGATTTTGGCTCAGGTCACGGTTCCAGGGTCGTGGGATCAAGCCCTGTTTTGGGCTCCATGCTGAACGCAAAGCCTGCTTGAGATTCTTTCTCTCGGTCTGCCCCTCTTCCTGATTGTCTTTAAAAAAAAAAAAAAAAAAAGAGGAAGAAGAAGAAGAAACAACTCTTTTTTTTTTCTTTTCCCAGTTTTAACCTACCCTTTAAATTATTTATTTATGTTTATGAGTCTAAGAGCCACAGGGTTTCCAGGAGCGTGTCTCATCTGTGTTGATAGAATTGTAACTCTCTGAGTTTAAGAGCCTGGTTGAAGAGCCATCTTTTTTTTTTTTTTTTTTTTTTAATTTTTTTTTTAATGTTTTATTTATTTCTAGGGGAGAGAGAGAGAGAGAGAGACAGCGTGAACAGGGGAGGGTCAGAGAGAGAGGGAGTCACAGACTGAAACAGGCTCCAGGCTCTGAGCTGGCAGTCAGCACAGAGCCCGATGCGGGGCTCGAACCCACGAACCGCGAGATCATGACCTAAGCGAAAGTCAGACGCTTAACCGACTAAGCCACCCAGGTGCCCCTGAAGAGCCATCTTCTTATGTTCTGTATTTTTGATATAATAGGATAGGTTTTTTTTTTTTTTAATATTGTATATTTAACCAATTTTATGGGGGAAAAAAAGATGATGAAAAGATTAAAATAGGGAAAACAAAATAGAAAATGAATTTTTTTTTCTCCTAGCATGGGCGCATCTTACTCTAAGAGCCTCATTAAATTGCTTCTGGGAATTGACATATTACAGGTGAGACTATGCCACCTTTTCTGTGAACATTAGATGGGTGTGATTTGTGATGTATCCCCAAGCATAAAGAGTCAAGTAGGGTTAATCGGAGACTTGGGGTTTGCAATAGTTTACCATTCCCTGTTGCTGAAATACATCTGGGAGGCAATATCTGCAGCTTTGGACTGAGTTAACTAGCTCGGTTCATTTCTTTGAAATGTTCTGTATTCCTTCAGCTTCTGATTCTTGATTTAGTAAAACTTCCTCCTGTATGTTCTGAGTACCTTATATATCTCTGCCATATTGACATCTGTATCATCTCCTATTTGGGTTTTTATTTGCTTATTAATTTGATTTTGCCCTTTTCTTCCTCCTCTCTCTTTTAATATACTGAGTAGATAATGCTTTGACATGTTTTAAATATTTCCGATTATAAAAACATGCGCAGTGGAATACATACCCTGTCCTCCATTATTTCTCTTTTTTTCTTTCCCACTATTAATCTTTCCACGCTCTTACCTCTTCCTTATCCTTGGAAATCTTCACTATAATATAGTTGGATTAAGTTTAAGAGCCGTCTTGTTCCTCTGGAGTGAAATCTTCTCTTTTTGCAAACTGATAATTATTTAAGTCTGCATTTCACGAACTAACAGTTGTCATCATATTTAATAATATTTTTTATTATCTGATTATTTTAATACTGCTTCAATCATTTTGCAATTGTTTTAAGGATGTATTATGACAAGTCTTTGTATTCCAACAGCTTACATTCAAAATATAGGGACCGTTCAAGGGGCCGTTCTTAACATAAGATTTCAGTTCTAGCCGGGTGTTTCCTCCCAGGGCTCTCGTTGGGGCAGATCATGGCTAATCATGTGTTTCTGTTGTGTATTTCAAGACTGTCTCCTAACTCGGTATGTCTTCCTTTTTAGCCTGCCATTATCAAAGTCTTATTTGAAAAGTTGCCAGAATTTATTTTTGAAAAGTAAGTGGAATTATTGTGGAATGTTTACCTTTGTGTACCTAAGTTTCCCTCTGAAAAGATTACTCTGAAACATCATTGGTTTCTCTAAAAGTCATATTGATCATGACACCAGATTCTTAAGTGACTACTACAAAAATATAAGTTTAAAACAATACATTTTTTCCACTCTTAAAGGATCTTCATTATTCATCGTAATGAACAGACATGTGTGTACATTACTGATGAACAAAATAAACTGGTTGAAATCATTCTGAAGGACGGTAGGTTGTTGTGTATCAAGCTCTTAGATTTTGTGTACTCTCTTTTTTAATATAAAAATTTTTTTTTAATGTTTGTTTATTTTTGAGAGACAGCTTGAGCAGGGGAGGGGCCAAAAGAGGGAGGGAGACAAAGAATCTGAAGCAGGTTCCAGGCTCTGAGCTGTCAGCACGGAGCCCGATGCAGGACTCAAACCCATGAACTCTAAGATCATGACCTGAGCTGAAGTCAGATGCTTAACCAACTGAGCCACCCAGGTGCCCCTTTTTAAATTTTCTTAAAAGTTTGATTTATTTGAGAGAGACAGAGACAGTATGAGTGGATTAGGGGCAAAGAGAGCGAGAGAGAATCCCAAGCAGGCTCCGTGCTGCCAGCACAGAGCCCAGTGCAGGGCTCAAACTCACAAAACCGCAAGATCATGACCTGACCAGAAACCGAGAGTCAGACACTTAACTGAGCCACCCATTGCCCCAGACTTTAATGCTCAACCAGGTCTCCTCATTTATTCTTATGTAGTAACTGAATAAAAATAGTCATGAATAGATTATTGTTCAACAAAAAGTTGTAAAAAACTGACATACTCTATTCTAGGGGATTGGTTAAGTAAATGAGGTACATCCTTGCAGCAGAATATTATGTGGACATTAAAAATCATACAGAGGGCTATTTAATTGAAAAACATGGTCAGGTTAAAAAATCAGTATTTACAGTTTGGCCCGGTATTTTATTTAAAAAAATTTTTTTTAACATTTATTTATTTTTGAGAGAAAGATCGAGTGCAAGCAGGGGAGGGGCAGAGAGAGAGGGAGACACAGAATCGGAAGCAGGCTCCAGGTTCTGAGCTGTCAGCACAGAGCCCGGCGCGGGGCTCGAACTCACGAACCACGAGATCATGACCTGAGCCAAAGTCAGATGCTCAACCAACTGAGCCACTCAGGTGCCCCACCTAGTATTTTATTAAAAAAAAAAAAGCATACACATAGATAACATAATTTGCATATTAATAGTAGATATATCTGGATGACAGCCTTAGAGGTCATTTTTACTTTCTCATTTTCATATTTTTTTTAATGTTTATTTTTGAGAGAGAGGCAGAGTGTGAGAGAGGGAGGAGCAGAGAGAGACACACAGAATCCGAAGCAGGCTCCAGGCTCCCAGCTGTCAGCACAGGGCCAGATGTGGGGCTCAAACTCACGGACCTTGAGATCATGACCTGAGCCAAAGTTGGATGCTTAACCGACTGAGCCACCCAGACAACCCTACTTTCTTAGAGTGTTATTTATTTTCTTTTCTTTTTTTTTTTTTTAAATATTTTTATTTATTTCTAGGAGAGAGAGAGAGAGAGAGACAGCGTGAGCAGGGGAGGGTCAGAGAGAGAGGGTGTCACAGACTGAAACAGGCTCCAGGCTCTGAGCTGGCAGTCAGCACAGAGCCCGACGCGGGGCTCGAACCCACAAACCGCGAGATCATGACCTAAGCGAAAGTCGGACGCTTAACCGACTAAGCCACCCAGGCGCCCCGAGTGTTATTTATTTTCAAAGAGAGAGAGGGAGACAGAGAATCCCAAGCTGACAGAATGGAGCCTGACACGGGGCCTGAACCCAGAAACCATGAGATCATGAGCTAAACTGAATTGAAGAGTTAGATGCTTAACCAACTGAGCTACTCAGGCACCCTGAATATGTCTTATTAATAAACTTAAAGATAGATCTTTACAAATTTGTGCTTTGCCTGAATGGGTCACACTGGATGCTTTATGTGTATTTTCAGCAGTTAAATTTGACTGCACTAAACAAAGATTGACAACACTGTCAAGGAAAGGAATGGACGGTGGGCCAAGACTATAGACATAGGAAGGCAGAGACTGTCATTTTGAGGGAAGTAATAGTAACTGAGCCAGCATTTCTTCATCTATAAATGGCTTTTAGTACTTTCACATAATCTAATTTGACCTCTGTGTTTCCAAAGCAAGTCCTTGCTTTCATTGGTACTTACCATAGCGATGTAATTAATTTTCTACCTTTTAAAAATATTCTTGGGGCCGGGCACCCGGTGGCTCAGTTAATTAGGTGTCCAACTCTTGATTTCAGCTAAGATCACGATCTCACAGTTTGTGGGATTGGCACCACGTCCAACTCTCTGCTGAGAGTTTGGAGGGAGCCTGCTTGAGGTTCTCTGCCTTCCTCTCTCTCTGCCACTATCCTCTCACCCCCAAAATAAATAAATAGGGGCACCTGGCTGCCTCAGTCGATTAAGCATCTGACTTCGGCTCAAGTCATGATCTCATGGTTTGTGAGTTCAAGCCCCACATCGGGCTCTCCTCTCTGAGGAGTCCACTTTGGATTGTCTGTCTCCCTCTCTCTCTGCCCCTCCCCTGTCTCTCTCTCAAAAATGAATGAGCATTGGGGCGCCTGGGTGGCTCAGTTGGTTGAGCGTCCCGACTTCAGCTCATGTCATGATCTCATGGATCATGGGTTTGAGCCCCGCGTCGGGCTCTGTGCTGACAGTTAGCTCAGAGCCTGGAGGCTGTTTTAGATTCTGTATCTCCCTCTGTCTCTGACCCTCCCCTGCTCATGCTGTCTCTCTCTCTCTCTCTCAGAAATAAATAAAACATTAAAAAAAAATGAATGAGCATTAAAAAAATAAAAATATTCTGGGACGCCTGGGTGTCTCAGCGAGTTAAGTGTCCGACTTCAGCTCAGGTCATGATAACACAGTTCGTGGGTTTGAGCCCGGCATCGGGCTCTGTGCTGATGGCTAGCTCAGAGCCTGGAGCCTGCTTTAGATTCTGTATCTCCCTCTCTCTCTGACCCTCCCCTGCTCATGCTGTTTCTCTCTCTCTCTCAGAAATAAATAAAACATTAAAAAAAAAAAAATAAAAGAAAATATTCTTCCCGTTCAGTTCAAATTTATTGCCCTTATTTTTTATTTATGTTATTATTAAGAAATACTGTACACACCTTTCTTAACCTTTCTCTTTTTTTTTTTTTTTTAAATATTTTTATTTATTTCTAAGAGAGAGAGACAGCGTGAACAGGGGAGGGTCAGAGAGAGAGAGAGAGAGACACAGACTGTGAAACAGGCTCCAGGCTCCGAGCTGGCAGGCAGCACAGAGCCCGACGCGGGGCTCGAACCCACAAACCGCGAGATCATGACCTAAGCGAAAGTCGGACGCTTAACCGACTAAGCCATCCAGGCGCCCCTTAACCTTTCTCTTAAACGCTCCCCAGATGCAGCTACTGTTAACAGTTTAGTGCATCCTCTCCATTCTTTCTCAATATATACGTTTCATGCTCTTCATATAATATGTGTGTCTAACGCAGCTTGCAATATGTAAATGTTCTGTAAGTGTACATTCAGTGTCTGAAATGTTTGTGCACTATTAATGCTTGCTGTTGTGTAAATCAGAAATGCTAAATTTCGGTCTTCTTGTCCTAACATTTCAGTGTGAACGGTGATGGACTTAATGTGCCTAGACTCATCATCAGTCAATTGAAATGGCTTGACAGAATTGTGGATGGCAAGGTAGGCTTTGGAACTTGTTCTGTCTCTTGGATTTAGAGAGTCTGTTTTCCAAACATGGATTTTAGAATCTTAAGCAAACTTTTGGAATTGGCAGGGTTCTTTTTCTTAACTGAAAATTCACATTTTTCTATTTATCTGTTAGCTTTTTTCATCTGTCATAATTTGGGAATCATGGATATTTCACCTTTTAAATTTCTCCAAAAATTTTTTTTCTAATTATGATGACTAGATATTATCTATTAAATAAAGAAATTGAAAGAATTGAAAAAAAATTAAGTAGCTGTTCAGAGTTGAGAGATTACTATGTTTTATTTCTCAAAAGCTATGAGATCCCACACCAACTTACCACACTGCAAATACAAATTTGATTACATATGAGAAAACTTTTAGGAAGTTTTTGCAATTATGTGAATTGTTATTAAGCACCTTTGTAAAGTTGGATCTTTTTTGAGCCTAGTGTTTAAGCCTATTTCTTTTCAGAGTTCTTTAATTCTATTAATTTTTGTCAGACATTCCAAGGCTAAATCTTTATTTGGAAAAACATGGATTTTAGAATCTCATGTGGGCTGGAATTTTGGGTCTGTCACTTCTTGTGTATCTTTGAGCAGCACATACCCTCACATTTTAAAAACGGGGACCATTGGGGTACCTGGCTAGCTCGTCAGTAAAGGGTGCAACTCTTGATCTCTGAATCATGAGTTGAAACTCCACGTTAGGTATGGAGCCTACTTAAAAAAATAAATAAAAAATAAAAAAAGGGGGCGGCAGAATTGTCACATGGACTCCAGAGTTGTGAAGATTACGTGAAGTATATACCAGACCCATTAGATAATATACTATCCACTGTACTTTTTTTAGTGTACCATCCCATGTGTGAAAATTCCTGGGTCATTTACTTCTCCATTTAGGCTTTGAGTTTATGTATGGGTGTCATATTGTACACAAGGTAATTCCGTCTGTACATTTCATGAGGAGGAAGTCTTTCTCTGTTCTTGGTAATGTGCACCAATTGTAATGGTCTCTTCCACTGCAGGATCTCACCACCAAGATCATGCAGCTGATCAGTGTTGCTCCACTGTCCCTGCAGCATGACTTCATTACCAGCCTGCCTGAGATCCTTGGGGATTCCCAGCATGCTGATGTGGGGAAAGAACTCAGGTGGGTAAGCTCCCACTCTGCAGCCTTATCGCTGTAGTATGAAGCAGTAGTGGTAACATATTGACGGCAACTACCCTCCGTGAATAGGTATGGGGTTTGATTTCTTTTTGTAGTAATAAGTATATATTTGATCCATAAAGTAGATCCGTCTACTTTTTTTGAAATGGTATACCAGTTGTGAATATGAAGTCTGGGTTAGGATTAGGCTTATAAACATAATCCCTTTGTTTTGTTAGCATTTCTTCCACCCAAGGAGTCCTCAGTTGTGACTGCATATCCAAATCATTTGTGGAGCTTATGAAACATCTGTATATTCTTTGGTCCCTAAATGATTCATTCTGATGTACATCACATCAGACCCATTGCTCACTATCATTTATGTGAAAAATAGTAATTGGTAGGGCAGTGATTAAGAAGGGGGGAACACTATCCCTATGTAACAGGGTTTCTGTTTTAATAAAATTTCTTATCCTTGAAACAATTTTTAAAAATTCAATTTGTAATACTTCCTTCACTTTAGATGTCTGCAAAGCTACCTCCAGAAATGTCCAATGATTGTTTACCTCTGTGCTTTCGGGCAGGATGTTCCCTCTGGGTATAGCTCTGTACCGTCCACTTGGCCTGCTTAATTCCAGCTTGTTCTTTTGTGTAGCCTCTGCTTAGACTCCGTCACTCTTCTCTACTCGCCTCCTGTAAGCGCCCTGCCCACACTTCTCTCATACTCGTCATACTTCACTGCAATTGCTGTAGGTTTTCTTTCTCTTTTTCCTTCTTCTTCTTTTTTTTTGCTTTATTATTAAATTTTTCAGTAGGCTCCATACCCAACGTGGAGCTTGAACTCACAACCCTGAGACTGAGTCGTGTGCTGTAGCCAGTGAGCCAGCCACACACTCCTGTTGTAGGTTTTGTTTTTCCTTTTCTCAGGAAGGATGTGCCAGACTCGGTCGTGGTTACCTCAGGTGCTGGAGCTCCTGAGGAGGGGCTTTTTGTTTCTACTCTCTTGTTTGAATTTTCTATAATGAGCATGTATTTTTTAAAAATTGAAACAATTTTTAATGAAATAGACTATAAACCAATTCATTGGGAACTAAGTGTATCTTCTCTTCCCATACTCTGAGTGATTTTTCCAAGTAATTATCTGCCCAGCTGTTAAAAGTTGCATAGACTTTCTCTTTTTCCACCACTCACAGTGACCTTTTCATGGAGAATACTTCACTCACTGTCCCTATCTTGGATGTCCTTACCAGCCTCCAGCTTGACCCGAAGCTCGTGTCTCAGGTAGGAAGGACTATGCTTTCCAGAAACAGAGTCCACTTTCTTGCCTCCCAGAACAAGGGACAGTCAGTTATTGCCTTGAAGCAGTTGTATATGAAAATTTGATTTTGAGGGGCGCCTGGGTGGCTTAGTCGGTTAAGCGTCCGACTTTCGCTTAGGTCATGATCTCGCGGTTCGTGGGTTCGAGCCCCGCGTCGGGCTCTGTGCTGACTGCCAGCTCAGAGCCTGGAGCCTGTTTCAGTCTGT